CTGAGGGGAAAACTCTATGTTTCCCCCTCAGATGGCTGTGGCCCCACCCCCAGCGTGCCCGGCGTCATCACGTCACCTCTGGCTGACGTGCATGCGGCACGCTCGCCCTTCATGCACACTCGACACCGTCCAGGAGCCCCCCGCTGCGGACGAAAAAGAACTTGGCAACCCTACTCTGAAATCTAGGAACCTGGAGCATTATGCCCCCCATTTCCCCAGCAAGCACCAGCAACTTCCTGTGCCTTAGTATTCACGGCATCACGCTTTTCTCTCTTGGAAGCCCTCACTGTTTTAAGGTTTATTTACCCGACATTGGCCTTCTTGTGCTACGGCATTGTGGGCTTCTTGAATGGCCTGGAGGAAGAGAGAGAGAGAAAGAAAGAGGGAGGGTAAAGTATATCAAGGCATTTAGAAGGAAACCTGATGCTAGATGCCGCTAAGACTCCCCCACCCAAGTCACAGACCTTGTTGTTTTCAAGTCGTTTTGCCCTCTCATCAGGAGACAGATCTGCTGTTGTGTTGAGGAACGCCTTCAGGGCAGAGCCTTCGTCTGCAAGGGATGAAATACAAGTGCTAAGTGCAATACAGGAGGGGGAAAGAGACTTCTGACCAGTGTTCCCTCTAAGCTGAGTTAGTGTGAGCTAGCTCATAGTTTTTTAGCCTCCGGCTCACACATTTTTGTCTTGGCTCGGGAAGGATGGCTGGCTCCAGAGCAAACTAAGTTATGCAGTAGCCAAACTGCTCACTCGCAACTTTAATGCCAGGAGCTCACAAAGTAGACTTTTGGCTCACAGGACTCCACGGCTTAGAGGGAACATTGCTTCTGACACCTCTGCAAGCCTCCAATTCATTTGTATTTTGCATCCTTTATCATGGGCGAGCAAAATAGGGCCAAGTCCGACGGTGCAAAATCAGATAAAAATATACGCAATTAAATTACCAGAAATTCCCTATGCATTTCGCCAACAGGCTTTGTCAGGGGAATCTGCTCGTCTTGCAGTAGTACTTCAAAAGCAGTGAAAGCAGATTTGAACCAGTCCGTGGACAGAACTTACCAAATGACATTTTATCTTGATTGTTGGCCACCGCGTGTACAAGGCCAATTGTGCCACACGAATTGCTGGCGGTTTGCTTCAGGAAGTAGACCTTGGGGCTCACTTCTTGACCCTTCAGTTCTTCAATCTGCTTTTTCCTGAAGTTCTCATGCTTGATAAACACAAGAGTGTGTTGAATGAGTAAACGTCTTTGACCAGTGTTTCATAGCAAACTGAAACGGCTCTCACATTAGCATGCAGCACGCTTTTGTATGCAGGCATTTCCTCCTAATGTGGCAGAAAAGCACATGCACCGTTCATGCATGTATGAAGCGGCATATTCGTGACAATGTGCACTTGTTTCCGTTTAGGAACACAGTGTGTTGAACAGCTCCTAGCAGGTAAAAATAAATGCCCCTTTTGCTAAATACAACCTTGACCTCTTGAAGTAATTCCTTTGTGGCATCCGCCATATGATTATATGCTAAGTGAATTCCCAAGGCCTTGAGCTGAGCTGAAGATCTAAGCACTGGGCAAGCAACCTTTTGCTGGAAAAAGACATCTGCTTGTGAAGATCCTGGTGTGGTGGCAAACAAAACTGTGTGTGTGTGTGGGGTGCTGCTGAAGGCTGTACTCCGTCAGCCACGGCTGGAGCAAGCCAAGCCCCAATGGTGCCAGCACCCCGCATCCCAGGGATTCGACCTACAGTCAGTTGGTGGCTATGCAGGCTTGGGAGGTGGTGATAGGCAATGTTCCCTCTAAGCTGAGTTAGTGTGAGCTAGCTCACAGTATTTTTAGCCTCCAGCTCACACATTTTTGTCTTAGCTTAGGAAGGATGGCTCCAGAGCAAACTAACTTATGCAGTAGCCAAATTGCTCGCTCACAACTTTCATGCCAGTAGCTCACAAAGTAGAGTTTTTGCGCATAAGACTCCACAGCTTAGAGGGAACATTGGTGATAGGCCTAAGCCATGTACGAGTGATGCCTTTACATCACTTGCCAAGTGTTTGTGAACTTGTTTAAAGGATCACCCCATTTACTACCAGTACTTTTACTACCAGTACTAATACTTTCAGGCCTGAGTAGCTGGCTGAACCACTGCCACGATATTGCACAAAAGTCATATCCAAGACAAAGTCAGGGACAGCAACAGCAGCAGTGCTTCCCGTGAGCAAGAACTTGCCAATCATAACATCCTAGCTAAACTTTTAGCACAAGCCAGTTTTAATAGCTTTCAGACAGCGGGTGGGGATAATTTTGACTGCTAGTACATCGCGTCTCTGAACTGGGATAACTGAAGTGCGAAGGAGAATTTTCACACCATGTCTATGCTTTTGTTAGCGCCGTACTGGAGTGTTTGGAGTTACAAAGCCACCTTTCTTGTCCTAGGCTGAAGAAAATGGGCCACTTGTTCCTGTTAGGAGAGTCTAAGCATTGTGAATGGCCTGCAATTCACTTCAGCTTTCTATCTATTCTGGTTAATCCGGGGGGGTGCAGCCCCACCTCCCAAGTCAATGGGCTCATTCCAAATGTTCATTCTGAACATTTATGCATGGAAACCATATTAATTGCCCTTTCCTTCCTATAGGAAAGGCAGGTTCTCTTTAAACGTGGTTTTACAGATGAAAGGTAAAAAATAAGCCAAGGAAGGGGAAAATGTGGGATTTTACAAAAAGAGGCACCCAAGACATGTAGAATTGTGTTTATGACCCACATACATTTTAAATTGTTTTACTTCATTAGCTGTGTTGGGAGCTTTTAAAGAGGCAACACAAGATTCTATAGCTCATAAATAAATTATAGAAGAGCCTAGGTACAGAAATCTCACTTTCAAAATGGACTCCTTGGCCTTCTCTCAGTACTAAAAACATGTCGGCATCAGCTTCCAAATACAGCTGCCTAAGGAGAGGATGGCCTTCTCACAAAGGCTTTTCATCCCTTCTCCGTATCTTTGTTAAAAGACTCGTTAGGGAGAAACTATACTTTATTAATTTGATCTGAGCTCCTAATTGAAGTTCTTTCAGGAGGCTCATTCCAGCTTTCCTACCTGGCTGGGGTAAAGTGGTTAAAATGTTGGACTACCATGTGGGAAATCCAGCTCCAAATCTCCATTCTGCCACAGAAACATACTGGCTGACCTGGGCCCACACTCACAGCCTAACCTTACCTCACAAGGTGGTTTTGAGGGTAAAATGGGGGTGGAAAGAAGAAGAGAAGAAGAGGAGATTGGATTTATACCCCGCCCTTCACTTGGAGTCTCAGAGCGGCTTACAAACTCCTTTCCCTTCCCCTCCCCACAACAGACACCCTGTGAGGTGGGTGGGGCTGAGAGAACTCTGACACAAACTGCTCTTTTTCAAGGACAGCTGTGCTAGAGCTTGTGACTCTTGTGCAAGTGGAGGAGTGGGGAATCAAACCCGGTCCTCCCAGATTAGAGTCCACGCACTTAACCACTACACCAAACTGGAGGAGTATAAGAGGAGTATAAAATATCTAAATAACTGGTTGTCCAAGACTTCAGACTGTAATGATTACTCCCTAAACCTGAATTGCCTCGGCCTCAACACAACCGACACCAGCAATCCTCCAGAAAGGTCTTTTCTAGCGGAGGTTTTTACAGTCACAGTATAGGAGTCCCCAAAATATGTGGACCACATAACAATGGCAGAAGAGGAAGCAAGCCACCTAGTGATTCTAGAGCAAGCTTGTATTCTAGACTGCTCTGAGAAATCAGACTTAGATGGACTGCACTAGGCTTCTAAGAAGAAAGACGTCATTGCTTCCTGAGAACGCCACTGCTGAAACTTATTAAATAATCAAGTGATATTCAAGCAATATCGAAAGAGGTAAAAGGATCAGGTGTGAGCCACATGGGCAGGCAAGCTTTTTCCTGGGCTCTTGAATCCCAAGTAACATGTTCACTCTTACTATCGTATAGACAAAATTGACACATGCCACACCCCGGTCAGTCCGAACACCCACCTGCGCAGTAAGAGGGAAGAGCAACAGCACTGCACAAGCCGGGTTGGGCACGGCGTTCAAGGAGTCTTCCTCAAACCCTAGCACGTCCACAAACCGCCATCCGGGGCTCACTCCTAGGCGAGAGAGCACCTGCACGCGCGAGAGAGAGAAACGATGCTGAGCACGGAAACAGTGAGTATCAACCCCACCCTGTGTGTCTGTGTCAAGCGCTGCCAAGTCACAGTGGACTTACGGCAACCCCTTGGGGTCTCCAAGGCAAGAGATGTTCAGAGGTCATTTTGCATCGCAACCCTGGCATTCCTTGGAGGTCCCCCACCCCAAGTGCTCACCAGGGCTGGCCGGTCTTAGTTTCTGAGAGATAAGAACATAAGAGACGCCAATGTTGGATCAGGCCAAAGGCCCATCTAGTCCAACACTCTGTCACACAGTGGCCAAAAATACCAGGTGCCATCAGGAGGTCCACCAGTGGGGTCCACCAGATGATGAGATCAGGAGGTCCACCAGATGATGCGATCAGGCCAGCCTGGGCCACCGGGGTCAGGCCAACCGCCTGCTAGGCAGTACAGACTGGGAGCCAGCGACGGCTCCCTGTGGATCAGAACCTCATCTCACTGTGGAAAGATTGTGGTTGAGGAACACAGCTAATAAACACTGTGAACTTGCCTGTCTCTGAGGGAAAGGGGGGGGGGACGGGATGTGTGTGTCTGACGGGACTCCAAGATGTCCTTTCGGCATCTGAGGTCCTACCAAGCAGGTGTCTGGGCCGCTTGAAGGCTGTGAGCATTTGTAGAATAGATTCACCAAAACGTGAAGGGCTGGTACTTATTCCGCTGCTGGTCACAGTTAGCGGCACGATACTGAGCCTCTGGTTTGACCCGGCAAGGTAAAGTCTTTCTCATGGCCTCTAGGCAGATGGGTGCTGGTGGCACCAGAGGGGCCCGAAGTGGCCCTCACACAGAAAGGGGGGGGATCCACGTCTTAAGAGAGGAGACTCTGTTAGGGTTGCCAGCCCAAGGTTGTGAAATACCTGGAGGTTTTGAGGACGGAGGTCGAGGAGGGCAGGGTTTGGGGCCTAATGGCATAGAACCCCAACTACCAAGTGTGTTTGACTCAAGATCCGTGGGGAAATGGCTGGAGGTGGGGGCAGGAGCCCTTCCTTCTCCTGCAGTGTCGTTCTGTGCCTGTCTGGGCTCTCCTCTTCTTTTTGAAGAAGCCATGCTGTGTGGCTGCTGGGAACACAAGCTGGGGCTGGAAAACCCAGACCCCAACTCTTTAAAAACTGTAATCTTTAGCTTGGCTCTGCGAGAAAGTGATTGGTCCAAAACCGACTTCTGTCACTTGGAGAACAGCTGCAATAGCGGGAGGTCTCCAGCCACTACCTGGAGGTTGGCAACCCTAAACTATGTCCAGTATTATCTTATGGGAGAGTCCCGGGGTCCCTTCTGCAGGGAAACTGGATGGAGAGCTCTGCTCCTCGGTCTTCCAGCTGCAAAGGGCAAAAGCCCCTCACCTGTAGGGAGGACAAGAGACAGAAGAGCCTTTTCCAGCCACCCTTCCATCCGACCCCCTCGCAAGCAACAGCGCCAGGGTGACACAGCACAAAGCGTGGGGCTGCACCGCCACCTGCTGCCCATCCCCGGAACACCCAACTGGCTCCCTACAGCTCCACGGGGGAGCGGCCCACCCCAACCTGTCTCCCCCCTTTCCCCTAAGTCATCGAGAGACGGTCACTTCCAGCACTGGGAGGGAGCGGAGAGAGATGAGTAAGAGTCCAAATGCGGTCGCTTCCTCAATCTCCCCTACTCTCGGTTCTGTCGGAGCTTGGGGGGTGGGGTGGAGAAGGAGCGCAGGGAAATGGAGCGCAAGGAAACGCCCATCTGGGCGACGAAGCGGCGTCTGGTCCTTCCCGGCGGTCTGGACGGGCACTCACTTTGTTCAGCATCTGGAACAGAGAGAGACACGCGAGAGAGAGAGAAGAGGGGTCAGCCTGTCGAAGGGCGGGGCCGCCTCCCCATCTTGCGGCCAGAACATTCCCCCCCTTTACCAGAATCCGTTTCAGACCGACGCCCTTTTACAAAAAAACAGACTTTCCCCCCATCCTCTTCTTTCCGAGCCCTTTTAAGACCCCACCCCACCCCTTCTCTCGAGGGCATCTCAAACGACCACAGCTAAAAACTGCCATTTACCCTGAAAGCGCAATTCCAGTTGCAGGCGCTTTCTTTCTTCTTCTCCCCTGCCCGGCACCTGGGGACCTCCCCCCCCTGGAAAACACCTGCCTCCTCCCCAGCCGCCCGCAAGTCCAGAATTGCTCATACAACAGATCTGGGGGGGGGGGCGCCTTACCTCGGGGTTGATCTCCATGGGCTGCCAAGCCATTGTTCCAGTCGGCTCTGGTGCAGGGCTTCGCAAGAGACACACGCACACACAACTCCAAAAGCAGCAGAAGACCCTGGAGGGACTCTCAGCTGAGCCGCCGCCACCCGCCCACCGCTATATAACGCCACCGGGCTGACTCACTGCTGGAAAGGAGGGAGGGGGAGAGCGGGCGCTAAACGGCTCCGGCAGAACCCCAGGCCCTGCCATTCACCCCCCTGCCTTCTGGAAATGGTATGGCCCTTCCCCTGCCCCTCACTTCTCCCTGCAAAGGTACCCAATCTGTGCGCCTGGATCGTCCATTGGTTTTGCTAAGGGGGGCGTTGTGTGCCGGAACAAAGCTGAGGCTTAGCACGGTCCTCGCTCTGCTGATCCTCTGGGTAGAAGTTGCTAGCAAAGCACACGGTGAGCCTGCCGAGATCGGCAGCAGCAGCAGCAGGGCGGAAAGTGATAGCGAGCTGCGTCCCTGGTGCGGACAGCAGCAACCGGCAAGACGGTAGGCAGACGAAGACGTCACTGCATCGCGAAGCCGGAGTGATTCTTTTACCAGCCCAGGAAAAGTGTGCTCGGCTGTCGGCGGTATTTGCAAACGGCTCGGCGTTTTGGAGAGAAGCGGGTTTTTAAAGCTCTCGCGCAAGAACGAGCTGCTTTTATAGAACGAGCAGGCCAGACTTTGTTGCCAATGCTGCCCGCTGTTGCTTGGAAAAGAAACAGATGGGCTTGTCAGTTATTAGCAGAGAGCGCCTGTGGATTCGAGGGGGGGGGGAAGAGATGCAGAAACTCCACCGATGAAGCGTTTCTGCTAGTAACCAAGCTGGAGAAAACTCTGCCTTTTGGATTTCCGCTGGCCTCATAGATGGCAAAACCACAGGAACGCTGCCATGAAAAACAACAACACAACACTGGCCCTTCTAGAAATAAATGGACTAGCCACCTTGGGCAGGAAGGAGGGAGGGAGGGGCCTGTGGAAACTGAGCTGCTGGTGTTAGTCCACCTGCACCACCCCGCTGGGCCACCACCCCCATCTATAGGGGGTGGTGGCTGGGCACTTACACCGGAGCTGTACTTTTCAGGGCGCCAGCAAAGCAGTATGAGGCCTGAGAGAGGAGCACTCCTGTATTCTCTGCACAGGATCACGAGGGGTGGTTCTTAGAAGTCTGGCATGGACACTTGGCCAAGCAGGTCCTGGTGAATTCATATGCTTTCTCACCCTGAATCAGCTCAAAAGCTGCCGCCCAAACATTTTCGTGTGAGTAAGCCCGTTGATCAAAATGGGACATACTTCTGAGGCAACCTGGTCAGGGCTGCTCCCACCACTGTGTTTCATCTCATGTTGTTGCTGATGGGAAACACAATCCAGATGATGCGGATGGACCCAAAGGAGGGATCTGCAGAATTTGTACAAGGAGTTGCCCTCCTCTAGACCACCACATCACATTCACATCAACTTCCATGTTCCACTCCCCCAAAACATGAATCCAGTATTCTGTGGCATCACAGGCACAAACAAGTATTTTTTTAAAAAAGTGATACTCATTATTTTTAACGTGGAGTCACCTGAAATCTGCTGTCAAATTTCACAAGCCAATGGAGTGATCTATGGAAGATACAGGTCCAGCATGTTGTGGGTCAACCTTGGCAGTGGCACCACACTTGGATTTTAAAAAAGGCTCCTTACTGCTCTTGTAGGAGTGAACCCCCCCATTCCCCATTTGGCAAAAGATCTCATAGGTAAAGGTCAACTCTAGGGGGTGGTGCTCATCTCCGTTTCCAAGCCGAAGAGCCAGTGTTGTCCGAAGACATTTCCATGGTCATGTGGCCAGCAGGACTAAATGCCGAGGCGCACAGAACACTGTTACCTTCCCACCGAAACGGAATGGATACAGTGCCTTGTGGCATTTCAAATAGGTTGAAATGAATCCTAAGGGATCTTTATGATTTTTACATGAAGTCCCACAAAATTGACATCTTGCTTGTGCACGGCACCCTGTGCCTACGGGCTGCGCCATAAAACATTGTGATGAAGCAGTTCATGATATTGATATGGTACAAAAACATGAAAGATCAATGGATCCTCCAAGGAGCTTAGGGCGGCATATGTGGTACATGGTTGTCCTTTCCCCACGTTATCTTCACAACCACCCTGTGAGGTAGGTGAGGCTGAGTTTGTGTGACTACCCCATGGTCACCCAGCCAGCTTCCATAGCAGAAGGGGGATTCAGACTTGGGTCTCCAAGATCTTAGTCTGACACTAACCACTACACTACACTCTCTCTCTAATGTTCTCTGTTTTTGCCTGCCTGTGTTTCTGTGACTGTGGCCTTTGTGTTCTTTCTCTTTATTTTCAGAACTCTTCAACATTCCTGACAGGTCCTGTAAGGAACAGCCAGCGTTGAACCTTTATATTATCTGGGTTTATCACTTTCCTTAGGCTGTAAGTTTTGGCAGGCCCCTGGCCCAGCCTGCAAAAACCAATGTGCTTGTTTTAACTAAATTCACCTGTGGCTTTTGGCAGTTAAACAGAATTGTCCTGGGGGGTCTCTCGCTAAGTTGTTTCAACCTACCAGTGACAGTTAGCTAAGTGTGTCCTGATTGGCTATTGGGTTCATGGGCTGAGGCTCTGAAAACATGCTATTCGGTCTTCTATTTCTCCATGACATGGCCTGTCTGGTACAGGATGGACTTTTCTCTCTCAAGCCTAGAAGCAAGAACCATGTGATGGACCTGCATCTGATGAGCTAGCCAGCAAGCTTTTGATGTATAGTAAGATAGCTTTTAGCCAGATTGAATTCAGTATTATTCTTTCTTTTATTTGCCATTGCTTGTGCCTTAAGAGTGGCTCCTGCCCAGTATGCACTCTTTGTAACTTGAGCAGTTTACTAATACTGGGGTATTTTTCTACCTTCTAGTGTCTGGAGTTACTTACTGAGTGCATGCAAGATAACCTCAGAGGAAAACTTGAGAAGCTGAAAGCCTCTGGTAAAAGGCTCCTAGCTGGCCCAGGTGGCTGTGGTTGCAGCGCCTGGGAGCAGGAGTAGGGCTCTCTAGGACCATACAAGCCCATAGTCTGAAAATCCCAGGTCACCGGGCCATCATCATTACACAGCAACTCCAGTTCTTCCCCACTTTTCACGATCAAAGTAGACACTGCAGGAATGATAGACAGTTTTGTGCCCACCTGTTTGTTTTCACAGCAGCACAGCCACACAATCTGCAATGCCCTGGAGCCTGGCGTGGTGCCATTTGCCCGGTGCCCAGTCCTCCAAGCTGCACTTTTGGGCAAAGCACTTATGGAATGCCCTTCCTCTCGAGGCTCACCTGGTGACTATGTTGCTTTCTTTTAGATGCCAGGCCATAAGATTTCTGCTCACCTCAGCTTTTAAATGAGGGGTTGATATTTAAATACAAGTTTTGTCTGTAAAATTTTATTTTAAGCTGTCAGCAGTCTGTTTTTACAGTCTTTGTTTTTATGCCATGTGGGGTTCTGTTGTTGTTTTTTCTTGCTGTCAACTCACCGCTGAGTTATGGTGGACCCCTGGGGTTTTCAAGGCTGGAGGTGTTCAGAAGTGATTTGCCATTTCCTGCCTCTGTGTAGCGACCCTGGAATCCCTTGGTGGTCTCCCATCCAAATAATAACTAGGGCTGACCCTGTTTCGCTTCTGTCATCTTGTAGCCCAGAGGCGCTGCCTTAATCTAGGGTAGCCACAACAGCAGGGGCACCCCACTTTCTAACCTGAGCCGGACACCCATAAACTGGTTCTGAAACACAGAGCAGGCCAGAGCTCTGGAAAAAAAGCCTCTCCGTTTTCAGAGTGGCATAAAGGCAGCCCTCAGAGGCAACCTCCAAACCCCCCCCTTACCCAGAAGAGGTATGCTTATGGGATAACAATGGGTTCCTCCAGGTGTACTATGGCTGCGGTCACATTAGCCACGCTACAGAGACAGAAGATAGGCAGATTTTCCAGGCGCGATCACAGCGCCACATCTGGGAAGCGTAGAGCTCCCGTGGTGAACCCGAGATGCGGGGTAAAAAACTAGTACCTCCGAGGTACTAGTTTCCGGAAACCGCGGGGCAAGGGCAGGCACCTGATCGCGTTTCCGGTGGTAGGTCGTGGCATCCGGCGCCCGCCCATGTCCCATCGCTAAAAGGTTTCCCCCCCCCCAAGTCTCCACGGGATGCGCACAAGCACCCAACGGCGCATGCGCACACTTCGTTTCAAAACAAACAACACAGCCCTTTCCTCTTTTCCGTACCCCCCCCC